GGTGAGTTCAGCCTGAAGAAGGGAGGGCGAGGTGGAGACCGTAGTGCTGTCGGGAGGGCATCGGTGCAGCCTGATTCTTGCAGGGGGTGCACTGGGGTAGGGTGAGATGTGCCAGACCCAAGTTACAACACGGGAGGTTCCCATCAGAGATAAGGAATATGGGGCAGGGGCTTAGAGGGGTTTTGGGATCTCCTTTCATGGAGTTACTCCAACTTCGGCAGGGCAAGGTCCTAATAAGCGATGTGTTCTAAGCTGGCCCTGCTTTGTGAGGGCATTGGACCAGAGACATCATGCAGAGATTCGTTTTAATCTATATTACTGTATGATTTTTAAGGGAAGGAAGCTGCTAGCAGCAGTGCTTTGAGAATCCTGAAATAAGGAGCAAGGGAGGATTTGGCACTGTCCAGCTGAAGTGCTTCTCTGGAGTGGTGGGTGGTACAGCAGACTGTCAGTATAGTGATGGCTGTCTCCTAGATACGCGCCTTTTTATGGTGAACAAACCTATTAGGAGCAAGCTGTTGTGTATTTGGATGAGGAAAATAGGAAGGGTCATAATCTTTGGATGGTTAAATGCTAAACTGCAGCAGGTCTAACTGGAAAAATGAATGAAGGCTACGAGACAGGTTGGGAAGAGTGCTAAACCTAGTAATTACATCTTGAAGCATGGGAGGTGGGACCTTTACAGGTTTTTTGAGTTTTTCTGGGTGATCAAGGTTTAAGAGCTGCATTCAGAGAAGAAAAACTGAATGCAAAGAGATCAAAATTATTTCTTTCCTGACTGTGTTCATTAAGAAGGATCTCCAGCCACATAATTTTATTTTGTGGGGGTTTGTAAGGGGATATGTATTGTACGAAGTGCTGAAGAAGCATTGTAGAACAAGCGGAGTGAACACTGCCGTAGCCCTTTGCCTAAAAACTGCTCTACTGTGGGAAGGACTAAAATGGGCTTAATGTAATGCTGTTTTATACGAAGAGTTTTAGGAGATGCCTGAAGAACTACTGGTTGGTTGAATAGGGGGCTGTCAACTACATTTGGCTTTCCAAAAGGTGTTCAGTAAGGTTTGCTGTTGAAGAAATTAAGCTGACACAGGAGAAGAAAGTTGTTGCTTGATCAAATAATTAGCTAAAAGATAGGAAATAGAAGATAAACTGTCGCAGAGGGGAGTGAGGGGGAGTTTCTTTGTATCTTTGCTAGGGCTGTGTTCAGCATATCATAAACTATCAGGAAAAAAACCAGTGAATGCTGAGGCGATTAATTTTTTGTGTGAAATCAACGGATACATTGCAGTAAATACAAGTGCCATCAGTGGAACTTTAAAGTCTTGGTGCTCATGGGTGGCTGAGTGATACAATAGCAGGTACTATTAACTGGCTGAGTGCAAAGAGATACAGCATGGAGCAGAGACAGACACACAGTCACTTACAGTTATGTATATATACATGTATTTATGTAAGGTGTGTCTATAGTGGGGTTTGAACTGAACACATAGGGGTTAGACCTTGGGGTAATAATAAACATTGCTTAAAGGAGATTAGTGCTCGGCAGTTGTACAAAAAGAGAACAAACCAGAGCATTATTATTTATAAATATATAAATAATATGTATATAGTTGTGGTTTGCACACATCTTGAACGTTGCAGGCAGATGTGGTCCTCTGATCTCAGAAACAGGGAAAGGAGAAGGTTAAGGGGTTCAGAGGAGGTAGATAAGGATAATCAAAGATAGGGAACAAATTCAGTTATAGGAATGAGTATGTTTTTGTGGAGGCTTTTGTGTGGAAGAGATGTCTGAGTGGAACATGATAAAGATCTGTAAACTTGCAAGTGGAATGAAGGTAGACAGGGGAATGAGTATTCACTGCTTCAGTATAACTCATTGATTACTCACTGCTAATACAAGAGCTACAGCATACCAAATGAAATTATGGGGTGGCAAGTACAAAACAAAAGGGAGCTAACTTTGGGAATGCTGGTACATGCTAAGAGGTTGCAAGGTTCCAAAAAAAAAATTCCTATAGGAAGAATTAGTTGTCATTGAGTTTCTGGCTCAAATATCTGGAAGCAAAGATAGTATTTTCATAAAATAGCAGTGTATTTTTGACCATTTATTACACTCTTCCCATCTGAACTGGCCAATACTAGAGACAGGTTACTCGTGCTCATGGATTTGTTGAGACACAGTGCAGGGATTTTGATGAGTTTGAGAGGTCTTGCGTACCTTTCCTGCAGGAAACTGGGCAACTTGAGCACTAGTTAATTATAGGTGTTTAGAAGGACCTATTTTGCTATGCGTGTTTTAGCTGATGTGAAATTGAAATGTAATGTACTTGATTCTAGTTAAAAGTCTATTCAGACCTGTGCTAACATAAATGCTTTTAATTCACCCTTTTTTTTTTTTTTGTTATATTAGCGCATACTTTTGTATGGATCTGTCATTCATTTTTAGAATGAACAGAATAAGATGAAAAAAGTTACAAAGAAATTCTTCAGTCAGGGCTGAAAGGTTCATCTTGGAGGATTAGAGGTGGGTGGATTCAGTTGCATTTTTTATAGTGAATAGATAATTTTGTATTTTTTAAGGACTGTTTTGCCTTCACAATGTTTGGGGACTTATTTGAAGAGGATTTTTCCTTTATTTCAAACAATCATTGTGGAAAAGGGAAGAAATCAAAGCCCAGAGATTCTGAGCCTCCAGCTCCCAGGGATTTCACCAACCTGAGTGGTATCAAAAATCAGGGTGGGACCTGCTACCTCAATTCCCTTCTGCAGACTCTGCTTTTCACACCTGAATTTAGAGGTAATGTGTTCAAAATCTTCTTAAAGTAATGTTGGAATTGATATTTTACAGTGACTTGCATTCCTCGTTATTTATTAAAGAAGCACCACAAACACAGATTGTTTTCAAGAATAGTTTATTTCAGTTCACTTACAGTAATTTATTACAGAATACTCAGAGCTCTTGGTCTGTAAAATTAGTATCATCACTTATGCACAAAATGTAAGTAAGTTGTAAACATTATCTTTTCTTACAGGTAGACAGTTACTGTCTGTGTAAAGAAGAGAGGTTATTGCTGTCCATAAAGTGTCATTCATTTTTTCAATGCAACCGCTACAATTCCTGAAAAAATAGATATTTTGCCATCTGAACACCTTCATGCTTATTTACGCTTTATTGTTACAGCTTGAACCAGTTGCAAGGATGACTGATGTTCCGAAATGTTGTTTAATGTCTTAATTTGCCAAAAAGAATAGCATTATAATCCTTGATAGTTAAAATACAATAAATCTTTAAAGAGGAGACATTGGCTTTTTTTAAATAGGCATTTTTCTTTACAATTACAGAGGCGCTGTTCTCTCTAGGACCTGAAGAACTTGGGACTCTGGATGACAGCAGTAAACCAGATGCAAAGGTATTTAAAATTTTCTTGTCATTAGTCACTGCTGAATGTTGATTCGGAAGAATATCGTTTGAATTCGCATGAAGCCTTTCATAAGAATGAATGAAAGCTTAACTTTGAAGTTGGTTGGCCAATACTAGATTTTGCACGCAGATGTAAGTTTTCAGTACCATAAGCTTTTGCTTCAAAAGTAAGATATCGAGCCTGTTTCTGCTGAATTTGAAAGTGGAGATCCTTTTGTCTTCAAGGGGAACAGGAACAGTCTGTACAGTCCTTTTTAGTTTTTTCTCTTCTGTAATTGAAGATACAGTGCTGACTTATTTGTCACCAGGAAAAAAGAATCTAAATATGTGTGCAACCTAAGTGATTGCACTGAGGCTCTCTGAAGGTTTAACAGCCCACCCATACACAAGATGGTATGAGACTGGAATTTAATCTTTGTTTAAAAAGTGCTTACTAAAGTTGAACTACAGAATTTCATTCTTTAGTTCTTGGGTTGAAGTGATACAACTGGTTGTTTGGAAATTTTTTTTCTTTGTAAGTCAAAGATAAATATAGGTAGCTGATGAAGCTGGTTGACGTTAACCATTCTCCTTCCCGTCTCATTCCACCTCACCACCAAACCCTTTACTGAGCAAGGGGTAGCACATGTTAAATCTATACGTCATGACGTCTTGTAGCTGAGTTCTTAGGGTTTAGGATTACGAAAAATATCAGAGAAAGTTGTCCATTTTTACTACCGTGATGGCTTAATTTTAATCCATACAGTTTTGCTTTATCACAAAACGTGTGTTCCATGACTATGTTTGGCTCAGTAAGGTTAGGCACTGTAGATATTTGGGAATTAAGTCTGACTGACTGATGTTTTGGTGTGAATTGAGTAACCTCTGTTATGAAAGCCAGACAATGGTGGTTTATAACAAGTTTTATACTAAATTACTTCTCTTTTTCTTTAAATGATTGGTTTGAAGACTCCTTCTGATCTGTTGGGTATATTTTGTTTTTTATTTCTAGGTTCGAATAATTCCATTACAACTTCAACGGTTATTTGCTCAGCTTCTGCTCTTGGACCAGCAAGCTGCATCTACAACAGACCTTACCGAGAGCTTTGGGTGGAACAGCAATGAGGTACAAATCACCTTCAGTGACACCATCATTGATAAACTTTTTCCTGAATGGAGAAGATTTTTTTTTTTTTGAAGTCTGACATTTAAGAAATATCTTAAAATACTTCCAGCTGTGGAGATAGCATTGAATGGGGTCAACTATTGTTGTATACTATTGAATCTCCACATGAGGTACATGCCAATTGTTTACAGCGAGCAACAGAAGAAAATTGTTCTGTTAGATACAATGTCAGTAGCTTTTCCTTTATTTTTACAGGAATGTTTTTCCAACAGTCATTAGGGTTCTTGTCCTTTAGATTCTTACCTAAATTGAACTGTGTAACTCATCTTAGAGTTTAGTCTAAATCTACCTGTCTTATGTGGGTTATAGTTTATGTACTTGTAGTTACTCAGAGAGCATAACTAAATTAAGAATAACAAATAATAATAAAGGTAGTAATTTACTACTCAAGATAGTAAATATATGGGTAGTCATTGAGGCAGCTGTCTTTGTCACACTTAATATGTGTTGGTTTTAAGCAATAATCAAAGGAGATGGCACTATTTTATTTCTTCAAGCTTGTTTTTTTATTTCTCATGCAGGAAATGAGGCAGCATGATGTGCAGGAATTAAATCGGATTCTGTTCAGTGCTTTGGAAACTTCCCTTGTGGGGACTTCGGGTCATGATCTTATTAATCGATTATACCATGGGATTGTTGTAAATCAGATTGTTTGTAAAGAATGCAAGAATATCAGTGAGAGACAGGTAAAGCCAGAGGATTTTCCAGAATAAGTTTCTGTTCAGTCTGTTGAAGATACTTTAAATGTTCTTTTTTTTAAACTCCAGAAATAATGACATCTGTCTTGAGTGTCACTGGTGGCCTTGTTGAATCTAGGTAGTGTGTATTGGTTAGGGCGCTGCAGACTTGAAAATGTGAAAATTACGCATGACTTTGTTTTTAAGTCTTGGCTGGCATTTTCTAAACCACCTACATCAGGCTGTGACTCAGAGATGAAAACACAAGTGTTATTGCATTTTCTGAGTTGGCAAGCCTTTAGTAGATGTAGTTAGGAGAGAGCTGAACAGTGGGATAACATCAGTAAAACATATCTTTACATTCTTTTACTGCTCTTTGTAATTTAAAAAAGTTCCTTGTTTGGTTTTTTTAAAAATTAATTTCTCTTATGTGGATATATAGGGTTTGTTTCCCCCCCCATCAACAATGAAAGCAAAATGAGTGCTCACATCTGCTGTGGTGAATGGGATGAGTATCTTTCTAATGTACTGTGAACTTACACTACTTACTACCTTATTTTTTTGTTGTACTTCTGCATAGGAAGATTTCTTAGACCTAACAGTGGCGGTAAAAGATGTTGCTGGCTTGGAGGAGGCCCTGTGGAACATGTATGTAGAAGAAGAATACTTTGAAAATGAGAACTTGTATCGATGTGGAGCCTGTGATAAACTTGTTGAAGCTTCAAAGGTAATGCATTGGTGATTCCCAGTGTTCAGTTTAGGAACTTTGTTTACATTGCTGTGTCTGCCCTCTAACTCAGAAATAAAGAAACCTGTATCTTTAATCAGTCGGTATATAACAAGAGGATGCCAAAATCTGACCTGTTTTTTTTTTAAACCTCAGCAACTATGTCAAGAAAAGCTGCGTGACTCATTTCTTGACTTGAATATTGTTGCAGTTTTTAATCTGGCCTTTAATCTAGTGGTGAATGGGATGGCATGTAGTTTTGAGAGTATTGCCTCATTCACACACCTCTACTGCCCTGGCTTTGGGCATTTCAGAGCGTAGGCTAAAAGATAAGCTAGAGCATAAAGAAAAAATAAACAGATACAGGTAATGAAGAAAACTATGGAAATTCTCTCATTAAGAACTCAAATGGGAGAGAAGAATAATGAACAACTGTTACTCTGCACAGGGAAATGGGATCTGTTGATCCAGGTATTGCATTGTTTCCCTGATGCTGAACAGATTCTTGCAGTGATAAATTAACACCTTAGTAGGTGTTTTTAGTATGTTCTGTAGTGCTAGAGCCTTCAGGTGAGTAAGAATGTATTCACACAAGGAACTGTCCAGCTCTTCTAATGTGTAAGATACCGGGTGTGTTTTCACTGTGTACGCCTGTGTTGTTCCCATCTGCCAGCTTACTTCTGGTGTAACCACCACCACTTTGTGTCCTCTCAGTGAGCTTTTCAAGCGCTTGCCGCGTGCTAAGCCAGTGGCTTCCATCCATGGGCACCACCAGGAGTTTCCCTCCATCTGAGAGGCCAGGAAGGAGGAGAATAAAAATCCAGGCACAGCAAAGCCACAAAGTCATGTTCCTGTGATCAGAATACAGACTGTGAAAGTCTTCTCCTTCAGGCAGTAGCTTGAAGGCGGTTTTCAAGGAAGCCGATTGGTTTATCTGTTGAGTTGTGCTGCTTTGTCGTGATCTTCTAGTTAATGATTTACTGCTTTGACCTGTGCTCAGCTATGGGTGAGAACTGTTGGTTTTGAGTTGTTTTTTTTTTTAAAATTACTTGTAAAGCCAAATGCAGTGATCCTTTGCTGAGCTGAGTCATCGGAGCTCCTCAGTGTTCAACGGGAGAACTGTTGACATTAAGCCTGTGATGTTTATTGAGAGTGATCCCCAGGAGCTCAGGGACATCCAGCCTGGAGTACTCTTTTTGTCTGCCTAGTTCCCTGCCTTCACCTCTGGGCGCTTTGGGAAGGCTTCAGATGCTTGACACTTGTTGGCATTGGTATCTTCCAGAGGAGTTGTGTACGTGACCCTGAGTGCTTTGTTAAATGGTGGCATGGCTGTTAACACTGGTTACTGTCTGTATGCCAGTGCAGCCTGCAGCATCCTTGTGCTGACACCGTGTCCCTGTTTGTTGGTTTACAACAGTTTGGACTGGTTTCCCCAACATAGTAATCAAATTTAAGACTTTGTGTGTATCTTGTCATCCATCCCCTTAGCCAGGGCCAGGGAAGGGCAGCTCAGTGAGAGCTTTACAAGAGTTGTAGGTCTTTGAATTACATTTTTTCAGAGTGATACAAAGTGGTGTTTGGTTTTCTTCTGTGCTAATTTTTCATGTCGTAAATTTTTTTTTATAAAAAGATCTCCTTTTTCCTATTATTCCCACTATTTTTTGTAAAGGGCTGTTAGTGCACTCTGCCTTTGACATACTCTGCCCTCTTCACAACAGCAAAGTTCTTTGGCCTACTGCGGTGACTCTCTTCTGCAGCAGGATGAGTGCAATCCAAACCTTGCAGCACCCTTAATGTGGAAGGGAGTGGGTGCAAAGGCAAGCTGAGGGTAGGTGAAGTTAATCAGTGACTTGGGAGTTCAGGAACATTTGCCAGTGCCTTGTGTGGCTTGGTTATAAGGGTTTGTTCGAGTTAAACTTTGCTGGGTTCAAGGGAGTGCGAGTTAACAGTTGCTTACCTCTCAAATGTGGTCATCCATGCAAGAAGACAGTGGGAACTCTGAACTTGGGTAAGAAGTCACATAGCTGGGGGATGCTGGGGTATGAATGGACAACCTCAAGAGAGAAGGGCTGTGCTGGAAGGCTGTAGCGGGAGGGAGGGACGTTGTGTCAGCATGACTGCTGCCTATGGCTCTGTGGCCCCACAGGCACGATATGCGTGATCACAGCAGACTACACCGAGAGTCAACAAGTGAGGTGCCAGCTGGGCACTCCAAGCTTGGTGGCAGCATTAGGAAGGCAGCTGCCTAACAGTGCGACCACCTGCCCACAGCCAGCCTGTTTTAAAGACAAGATGGCCCATACCTATCCACTCCATTCCTCCCTCCCTTCAGTACACTGTGGGTCTTTGGATGTTATTCTTCCCCTTTTTTTGTCTTGGCCTCTAGAGAATTTAGTAGTTGAAGAATTCTTTTGTTCCAGAACTTTATCAAATTTTAATTGTACAGTCTGATTATCACTCTAAACTTGGAAGAGCATGCAAAAAAATCCTTTGTGCTACTAAGCTCTGCACAGTAGTCTTCGCAACTGATGCAAATTAAATACCTAATTCAGGGAGTTTCTTAAGCCATATTTGTGTTCTTGGGAGGCTCTCTGGTATGGCTCTGCAAATGGAGAGTTGGGTGGAGACATTGGAAAGGCTCAGAATTGTGTCCGTTGAATCTACACTTACATTCAGAGGTGATACAAGGTGGTTGGTTTTGCTTCGCACCAGGGTTCCTGATGTACTTGCACACCAATTTGTTTGATCTTGATTAATATTCTTCCTTACTAAAATGTATTATGTTGGCTTTCCTGCCTTGAAGGTCTTTTCCCGTATAAATGAGGGAGACTTTAACCCTTGCTTGGTTGTTCTGTGGCTGTCTGTAGGGTCTTCCAGGATACACCTACACCATGCTGCTTAGGCACAGCATCGTGCTCATTTACTGTAGCCCAGAGATCTTAGTGAGGGCCCTTTTCTTCAAGCAGCATGGCAGATCTTAAGCAAGATGCCACTGTGATATATTTTGGTGACATTTTTCAGACCATTTCTGTCGCTTTTGGAGGCAGCCCAACAGTCACTCAGCAGCAGGCTGAAAAATACATGTGGGAGTGATTTCTTTTTCTGGACAACAGATACCTGTCAGAGCTAGTTATGTTACAGATAGGATCATTTCTGACTTCCCCATTTGAAAACACTGTGCCTGTACAAGCCCTAACATATACTTGAGGTCACACAACCCCAAAGAACTGGAAAACTCCTCGGTGGTCATTGGAATAAACCTCAGGTGAAAGTACAAATGCTGTGCTTGGAGGACATGACCAGGAGGGGCCAGAAGAGTAATAGCCCCAGTCTCAATCGAGGTCCTTTCCTCACAGCAGAAGCAAGCATGTAGGCTATGTTTGTAGGTTGAGCTTCATTCATAGCTAATTTTTTTTGGGTAGCTTCAGGGCCTATGCCAGATGCTGAGCACCCCACTGTTCATCTGGGGATGGCGAAGTTACCACGAAGCTGTGTTGCTCTTCTGCAGCACCTGCTTTTCAGCAGCAGTTGAGTGTGCTTTTTGCTCTGGACTCCCAGGGTCTGTGTGGGACTGGTGATGACAGGCACTGTGCAAGGGGCCGAGAGCAAGTTGCTGGGAACATGCTGCATAGTCTGACTTCATGCATAAGCACAAACCCAGGGGTTTGAAACGTTTGCTTCTTAGTATAAAATTCAAGAAAATCCTCTCACAAAGAACATGTGGGCTATGGAAATGTAATTACTGACTAGAATTTCAGCAATGTCCTCTTTAGTTTTCTGTAGGAGGGTAAAGTATGGGACTCGTGATCACCATTCAAGGAAGGTGTAGGGCTTAACAGAGGGGAAAGATCTTGATTGCTTTTAGGATGTCTAGTTGGTAGGGAAATTGAGAATTAGGGAAGGCATTTTAAAAGTGAAAACGCTGGTCACGCCTGACTGGTTGTACCGAAGTTTCGTTGGAAAGTAGAGTTGACCATAGCAAAATGGAAACACTATTCTGTGTAACTGTGTGCTTACAATTTTTTTAATCATTTTACAGTCTGCTAAACTACGCAAGTTGCCACCCTTTCTCACCATTTCTCTCCTGAGATTTAACTTTGACTTTGAGAAGTGCGAACGATACAAGGAAACGAGCTGCTATACATTCCCTATCCAGATAAATCTGAGGCCTTTTTGTGAGCAGGTATGTACTGTTATATTTGTTAAAGTTTCTGTATACTTTGCAGAGAACTGATATCTCAAGGACATGTTATCTTTTATTTTGCATTTTGTCAGGGCAAGGTATTCAAGAAACTTTGTGGGGTTTTCCTCTGTCCCCAATTCCAAATTTTTAGAATTCCAATTTGTTTCCAAAAGACCATTTTTTAACTGAGTGGGAAATACCTTGTAGCTATACAAGGGGAAAGGGTATAATAATTACCTAAAACTTAATCTGACATTTGCTTGAAAGGAAGACTATCACCTGGAAATTGAAGTTAAATTTGGGTTTGTGTTGTTATTGTCTGATAAAGTCATGTATAAATTTAGCTATATATGTTTTATGTGCCTGTAGTTACTTCATTTTTCTTAGGAATCTGTCTGCATTCATGTATATGTATTTTGATTATAAACTGAGCTATACCAGTGCTTGATGACAATTTTTGATCCTTAAAATATATAAAGAATATACTTAATAGAGGCACTGTTATTGAAAAAGACATTTTTCTTATTGAAATGTTGCAATGCAAGCTTGGAAATTTCTCAGTGTTTGCATTTGAGGAAGCCTTTTTTTTCAGTTGGTTTGTGTATATAAATGGGTTGCTTGGTTTTTTTTTTCTAGTCTTTTAAACAAAATAAGCCTGGTTATGAAGAAACAGGTTGAGCTGTTCTATTATTTGCATCAATATTTCATTATTTTAAATTTTGAATTTCCAATATTGTTCACAATCATGCTTAAAAAGTTGCTTAATAAGCCTGTGCCTTGGTCCATGGTTTGTGTCAGTCCATACTTGTGTTCCCAGCACTGAAAAGCCATTTCAATCTTTGCACATGCAAATGCACACGGAGAAATATCTGAAGCTACGCTGATGTTGTAAAACTTGTCCTTGTGTGAAAGACTTACTGATATATATTATTGTTACTATTATTGTTTTTCTTTTTAAAGACTGAAATGGATGATTCAGAGTACATGTATGAGCTCTTCTCTGTTATTATACATAAAGGTGGCTGCTATGGAGGACACTATCATGTTTATATCAGAGATGTGGATGAATTAGGAAACTGGCAATTACAAGTAAGTCCTAAACGTTTTTCTTCCTTGCTTGATATGTCTCATTTTTCAGGAGCTAGTGGATGAAATGTACATCCAAACTAATGAATATTTTAGTGAGGCATTTGGTCTCTTACTTTATTGAGAAGACTAGTTTTCTGCAGTATGTGATCTCTATCAAGATTTTGTAGCAAATTTTAGCTTTCTAGTCTGCTGAACTATCTCATGTTACTGGGCTCACTTTTTCTTTCCCAAATGAATTAATATCTTTGCTCAAGACCAGCACAGTCATTTTAATGGATGACTCTGGCTGGCTGTGTGTAAATAACGCAACTGCCTTTTCTGTTTAAAAAAAAAACTGATAGTGGATATACTGTATGACAATATACCATCCGTAGCAGGTGGCAGAGGCACCTTATCAAACTTCCTTCACACTTCTAAATTGTGCATGCTAGTGTTAGTACAGACTGTAATCGAAAACCGCTAGTTGTGTGTGAAACAACAATATTTGTGAGTCTTTTATTTTTCTTATACAGGAAGAAGAGGATAGGCTGATTGAAGATAAGGCTTTAAGAGATACTGAAAATGCCAAAGAAGTAGAAAATCCATTGGCAGTGTTGAAAGGGATTTTATCAGAGGTATGGTATGTAAGGAGTTTATTGCTTTGATTTTGATATTAGGGAACGTAGAAGAAGGGGTTAGTGTATGCAAGAGTAGGCAGGTTTAAGTGTACAGAACTCTTCTGAACTTATTGTGAAGGATGTAAAACTTGTAACTTAACCTGGCTCTTCAGTGGCTCTTCATACAGAAAACGGCCCTCACTGAGTATTTCTTAAGTTGCTTGCTGAAGGTGTTGCAAAAGGTGATGTTACATTGGCTTATTAACAAACAGGAATGGTTTAAGGACTTCAGAATTGGCTTCTTTGTGTTGATCCCTTGACTTTTGTAGCCTTCATTATCCTAGTTTTTAACTTCTCTGTAGGAAGAATCTAAACAAATTCCCGTGGATCAATTGGGGCAGAAATTATTGGAGAAAAAAGGGGTGTCCTGGAATAAGAAATACCGAAAACAATGTGGAGCATTACGAAAGGTAATATGCATATGTGTTAATTTGGTTTTTACTGTTAAGATAACTTTACATTTATATGCCTATTGCATAGTCAGTAGGATGGTAATTGAAAATACTGGCACTTGGACTAGCAAGATAGAGCATGTGTAAGAGAGGTTTGTAAGATAAATTAGTAGACTGAGGAACACAGACAAGATTCTCAAGGGATTGCCTGCCTGAAAGCTTGTATCTTTTTCTTCCACGTATGTGGTTGGCCTATAAAAGAATTAACCTTACTTACTGAACCTTGTTTCACTTGTGTCTGTGAATGAAGCTCCAACAACACTACTACCACTTGAACATAAAAGCACTGATGAGAATTAAAGAAATACAGTACTTCTTCAGTCAGAACAGAAGTGAGGTTTTGAAAATGTATGCCGCTTTTTGGTTGATTAGGGCATGTCCATAAAATTAACACCTACAGTAAAATCTTATGTTTGTCCAGTTGGTTTCTGTATTTTCTAATGCTTTAAGAAAAATACTTTAGTATTTGTGTTATACATACGGGGAAAATTCATGTTTGACTGTTTTTTCCATAGAACTAACAATGCAGTTTTCACAATAATTATTTAAAAGTAGTTGTAAAATCTGAATGTGAGTCTTCTGTGGAGGTAGATGTTTTTCTGACTTTGACAGGGAAGTGATAGAAACAAGTTGTGAGCAACCCAGTATTAACCATTTCAAGGTTTGAGTGCTGTTGTGAATATTACCAAAGCTGACTTTTCACAAGTGCCGGATCTGTACCAAAAGCACATTGATCAATGCAGGACTTGCCGTATTGAAATAACTGTAAATTTTTTTTACGCTTTTTGAAGTATCAAATGAGTTTTTGATTGGTGTGTCCCCCCCCCTTCCCTCAAAAGCCATGATTCTGTTTTGTGTCATTTGGACACAAAGCTTGTTTGAAGTACCTGCCTACTGCTAAAATGAAAGTAGAAAACAGAGGGGATAAGCTGGGTGAAACGGAACAAGTAGGTTTTAAGTTCTTGAGATGCCACCACAGGTAGCTTTAATTTGTGTAAGGTACAACTCAGCAGATGAGAATTGAGCTTAAGATCCCTGTCTGGTAAATGCAGAAGGGAAATAGGCTTCTGCGGAGCCTAGCGAGTGGAAAGTACTAGTGTTAAAGGGCTAAACTGGTTGGGATGGTACTCTGGGTGTCTGATAAAGCAGAGGCTTTTTGGCGGCTTATGGAGCATCACTCCCAATGTTTTCCAGGGACAGGGAGTATGCACTTATGAGAGGTGTTTTAAAAGGAATCCAGTGTCTCAAGCAATCCTTGAAATTCAGAAGTTAGTCTGATTTAATTCTTGGTGACGCGTGTATGTTAAAAACAATTCTTTTGCAATTTCTTGCAATGATCATTTGAAGTTACGTAAGAAACAAAGCCAGCAACAGCATATAAAAGAACAGGCAGATAAGCGGTGGTAGCAAAATTACACTTTTTTGTCTAACCTGAGGAAATATATGAGGAAGCATCATAAAATCCAAGTTTGAAGGGATGGGGTTTGTGTGTCAATTTCAGGATGAATCAGGTGAAGTAGCTAATGCAGTCTGCTATAGTTAAATCTGGGTATCTTCTTCATCTTGTCCTTGCTTTCCTTTTAGTATTTGCAGAATCATCCTCAGACATTTCAGTTCAGTCCTGATGAAAATAAGGTTGGTCTGAAAGAAAAACACAAGCTCCTGTTTAAGTCAGATTCTCAAGAACAAGATTTCCAAAGCCCTCCTCAGAAGAATGATGTCCACTGGAATTCAGAAAAAAAACCTACAAGGCTGAGGGACAGTTCTGCTGGTTGCCATTGGTTTGATCTGAACGATTCAAAAGTCCAGCCAATCAAGGAGAAGGATATTGAGAAACAATTTCAGGGTAAAGAGAGTGCCTACATGCTGTTTTATCGAAAATCTCAGTTAAAAAGACCACCTGAAGGTACACAAAGCTCATCTTGATATTCTGGGGGCTTCCTTTATTGGCAGTTTGTTTTCTGGAGGGCAAAGGCTTTTTCAGCATTTCTGTCCTTTCCAAGAATTGAAGATAGTTTTCTTTCTAGTGATCATTTGAAAAAAGGGTTAACTAAGATACACAGACCTCCAGGGAGGTAGTGACCAATTAATTGGCTACAGCTGACACTAACTTTTTTTTAGTATGCTTCACAAATACTAGCAGAACATCTCCTACTGAAACAAATAAAAGTTGTTGCTAACAACATTCATGCATCAGTTTCTCTTAGGGCAAGATTGATGGGACGAAGTAGAAGCACTTGTTTGTTCTTTGTATCATCTTGCAGTTTAATTTTCTCTATTACGAAAGGATGCAACATTATTGCTCTGAATTTTCAATGATTACCATACTGTAATGTCTCATCTTGATCACTTTTCTTGTTTGCCGAAACACATTTTAAGCAGCTGAGGCCAAACTAGCCTATATTATTTGTTGCAGCACGAGGAAATCCAAGGTACCAAATTCCTGAACACCTTCTGAATGAAATGAATGCTGCTAATACTGAGCTGCAAAAAAAGAGGTATATTAATGAAACTCTACCAATCTCTTAAACAGCATTCTTAATCTGCAATCTCCAAAGTGATTTAAAATGAAAGAAACTCATTGAGTAGAGCCAGATACTAAAATGATTCAATGTCATAGAGGTTAATCGAGGAATACAACTTGTATGCCCACATTCTGCCTTTACTGGTTTCGTGCCTCCCTTTTAGTGGCATAACTAGGCATTCTACAGAATTTCAAGGGAAACTTACTTACAGTTTAAGATTGTACCTTTTTTTTGTGAAAATCAGTGCAATTCTGGGAGAAGAATGAAATAGGTTATCTTAATTATGTTTATAGAGGGAGTTCTCCATTGAGAGAAGGAGGAATGACTTGCTTTACTGTGAAACAACAGATAAATGGTATCCTTTGCCAGAAACGTAGAGGAAAGAGTTAGTGGTATTCAGGTTGGTTGAAACTTCTCCTTCTGTTGAGGAACACACAGAACTGATGATAGGCCTGAATCACAGTTAAGCTATCAAAATATAGACACGCACAAGAGACACAAGTCTTGCGTGATATCTCTGTACTGTGCAAATTTCACTCCTTTATTTTTTAAATGGCATATCTGCTGCTACATTTAGCTAATAAAACTGGCTATAGGTATAAAGGAGGAAGTCATGGCTGTGTCTCTCCGGACTCAGTTTCCATGCAGTTTTTCTGTCGCTGCATTTCAACAGAGTACAGATCTGGAACACAGCCTGAAAAAACCTACAGTCTCCACATCCCTAAAGATCCAAGTTTGCCGTTCTGTTTAGAAAGGTAGAAGCAAGGTGTAGAAATACACAAAACGCGCTGTTATAGTGCTAACGTGGAGGATGTCTACGCTACTCTGTATTGTACAATGTGTAGGTCACTGTCATCTTTGAGCACCTCTTTGCATACCCCTTGATGGAGGGGGGAATGTGACAGTGAATTTAGTCACAAGGGTATCAATTCCAGGACAACTGCACAGAAGCATTTCTGAAATAAGCTAGCCATTTGTCGGTGTTAAATTCACCGGTTTATTATTGTGTTATTCTTTCGAAGAGCGGAATGTGACTCAGCAAACCATGGCATTGATTTACGTCTCCATTTGAGCTCATGTTATAAATTTCACAATGGGGCTTTGCATCCTTCACTTACTTGGAAAGAGAATGTTGTGGATTTGACTATTGATAGAAGAAAAACGCTAGGAGACCTTCGACAGTCAGTATTCCAGGTATTTGCTATATTAAATGAACTCAAACACTTCAGTTTTACTTGAGTTACAACAACATTTACGTATTTATGCCGCAATTTTTATCTCAATGAGAAATTTTCAACAGTAAATGTTATTTTAGGAGGCTAAAAACTATATGGGTTTACACAGAAGGAAACATTGGTTTGAGGTCTGTTCTCGAAGTATTGAAGAAGCCATGAAATTGATGAATCTTTAACTATGTAGACTTTAAAGCTCTCATAAGCTAATTATTTATATTTGGACAGCATGTACATGGGCATGGATGGACGCTTTGCAAAACTCCAGGCTTATTCTTAACATTTCAGTTTGTGACACATTTGTCTTTGTATTTTCAAGGAGTGAAAGCTGGCCTTAAAAGGAAATAACTGGAGTAGTTTAAGAAAAGAAAAAATGGGTTAAAAGAAATATTTAGCTTAACTGTTGAATGTGGTATCTTTGCATTTATTCTCTACTATGTTAAAGGAATATGACAATTTGTAAAATGCTTTTTTATAGAGATCTAAATCAAGCCTAACTTAATGTCAGGAAACACTGTTTGCTTTTCCTGTACCTCAGAACCTTTGGTTAGTGTCCAGTTGAAATGTTATTTTTGTCTATCTGGTGACTAGTCTGGAAGGCCAAGTCCTAAATGCTTGACTGTTTTCTGTGTTACTGGCCTTGTTGAAGTAAATAGCTGTGACTTGTTAAGTGTCAGAGTGAGCTTGGTAGCCAGGCTGCAACAGCTTTCAGCACAGTTGTAATTTTGAGTGATGCGAGTTACTGGTTGCTGGTGTTTTACCTTTTTTTTTTTTTTTTTTTTAATTCTTCCCAATTAGAAGTTGGAGTCTTGGGAAGGAGACATGATTCTCAGTATTGCCAAGCCTTTACCAGCCGGACTGCATCTTTACCAGATACTTGATGGTAAGACTGCTACATACAAGGCTTCCATGTTATTTATATGTTGTATTTACTGCAGACATTGAGGATTTCATATATAAAACATCTTGGAGAAATGTATTACTGAACACTCTTCAAACTCAATCTTAAGTGCAAGTCCACTGCCGTTAAGGTATTTAGGACACTCTATTAGTGAAATGAAGTTTTTTGAGACTTTTATGTGTAATCTTTTTTGTGAAGTGCAGTAAGACTGCAGATCTTATGGAAATTAAACACATTTGCTGAAAAAAATATACCAGTCTGTATTTTGACCTTGATTTGCTTATGAATGTTTGCTTTCATAGTATTTACCTATTAGGTAGAGGAGAGGATAGAAGAGAAGACCCAGGGTGACACCAAAGAAAAATGTAGGTTAGACCTAAGCTGAAGTAAGAATTTTGTAAAGGAAAATGCTTACGTAAAGAGTACTTTAATTTATTAAGAGTACATTAGTATTTTAAAATCATTGAGTTCTGTCTCAACCTTTGCATTGTTATGCAATTCTAGGTGTTAGTCTTCAAAAGCCTATCAGCCATTTTAAAATTTTATAGTCTTTGTGATATCTGTTTCATCAAATTAGGGTTCTACCAGAACATAAGCCAACTTTCCATGATGTTGACATCAAAATATAGAGGCACTCATAGCTGCTGTAAATATTCCTCCAGATGCTAGTACAGTTCTCTAAATGACAGTGACTTTTAAAAAATCTGAATCTGACTTACGGTAGGAAAGTAAAAGAAACTGCAGCATGGGCATTAGTATTGCAGAGAATGGGCTTGGAATGTACAGTATGTAACTCGTTTATTAAATCCAACCTTTTTATTTTAAATCTATTGATTCACTGTTAAATCTCATGTAGATAATCCTGACCAAGCAGCTTTGCCAAGTGCTAACTTAGGCCTCAGTTTGCAAGGGAAATTGAATTAAAACCTTTGTGCTGCGGCCCTCTTTACTCAGGAGAGTGCTGTTAGTGGTGTGTACCCACTTGTCTTGCTCTTGCTACATGAGCAACCCCTAACTTACCCACCGTAAATGCTGATCACATAGCAGCTTTTTGTAATGATACACTTGAGCCAGAGTAGAATGTGCCAGCATATTTCAGTTTACCAGCTGACGCCGCTTGTCTGCTTTGCCGGGGGGAAAGAACTTGATGATTTGCTCCTTTTTAGGAGATGAGCTGACACTGGATGGCATTGGGCTGGCTGATGGAGCAGACATCTTCGTGTGGAATGGGAAAGAGGTAAAAGAACCAAATACCCTCTCTCCTTGTCAATTCTGAAGAGATAAAATGCCATCTCCAGACACATTTTTGGAAATGTCAATCTGTTCTGCAGATGTGCTGCTGACATACCAATGTTGGTTCTGGGGACACCGTTTCAGCCTCATCTAGGATACTATGTCTTTACAGCTTTTCAGTGTACCTTGAGTGATGTACAATCTGCTGCTTGATTAAAATTATAAATAGAATTATACTATGCAGAATGTGATATGGTTAGATTGATAGGTGCCTCTAGATACCCAATGCCGGTTACATTGGAGTGTATTCTGAAAACATCTGTGCCTCTTGGAAGGAGATAACAAAACAGTGATTACAATGATAGTAACGAGATAACAAAAACTTATGCCCTGTAGTGAATCGTTCCACATATAAAATTAGACCTGTGAATGACTACTTTTATGTATGGTCTTCCTGAAATACAGTCCTCCTTTTCTAGTGTTGCACCTTCCTTTTAATTTAAGGCTTCTGCTTAACTTTCAAGTGCTTGCCTCAGGGGTTACGTAACACAGCATTTTATTCCATCTCTGCAATGGAATAGAATATTACTTTTAAAAGATTTTTGTTGTAAAAGTACACATTTTCTTTCTGATTTATCAAAAAACCTTCTCCAAAACCAAAAGAAAACATCTAGTAACAGAGTCGTTCCTGTCTTGGTTGTACTTTTGGTATGGTCTCCAGCTTCCTGTGTGATCAAATTGCCTTTGTCAAGAAACTATGTTGTTTGCCTAGGTTGAATATCAGAAAGGCCGGATTTTAAAATCTAACTATTTTGGTCTGCCTCAGTCACACTTTCGGTTAGTTCCTTAATACCCTGAGGAGCTAACTTCCTCTCTTCTTAATCCGATGGAGACCAAATGTCCACTGGTTTCCAGCTACTGTTACCGATATATTTACTGTATATGCAGGCTTGGAACAGACCTTAGCATTATGCTTTCTCTTCCCCACGCCTTTGAGTTACTCTAGTTGATTGTTCAGTACGCATTTGGTCAAAGGTGGCTTACTTCTAATGAGGAGAGAGGGTCCATCTTTTTGTCTCAATAATTTTATTGTTGTTATTTATTGCTGTCCAGTCTTTTCTGTATTTTATTGATCACCATTGCATAAATCTTGCCTTTCTTACTTCAGGTTGGTGGTACAAAGGTGATGACAGGCCCTGATCATGAACCTGTGGTCATAAACGTTCTTCGTTTAGCGGAGTATAACGAAGGAGGAAAGGGTCAGCATTTCACAGAATCGCAGCATGTCTTTTCATGCAGCACAAAACTGGGTGATCTGCGCAGAGCCTTAGCACCATCAGGAGGAATCATCCTAAAGAACGGCTCAGGACCAGATAAAGAAGCCAAGAACTGGGAAGTTTTTCTTGAAGAAAATATGAAGGAAACAGTCAAAAGTGTTGGTCTGACGGATGGATGCTCAGTACTAATCTTAGACAGCCATGACCAGAGGTAACCATTTTGATTACAAGTATAATTAAACAAAAACTCAATTCTGGCAAAATCTGTTTAGTTAAAGTTATCCTAGATGTAAATATATAGGGATATATAGGGATTTTTTTTTTCTTTGAGCTTTTTAATTCAAGATAATGTAATCTTAAGTTTTAGAGATCAGGTACTTACCAACTATTAGATATTTCTTTGCTCTTGAAGTGCAGTCACATCCTTTGACTTACACTTGTAAAGGGAAAAAACTTGTGCCCAGTGTGCTGGCACATCTTTGGCATAACCTGAATTTCTGAGGTTTGAGTTGTGTGGTTCTCTGAGGGACTTGGTGAGATGAGAGAACAGAGCAGTATCAGAAGAATATGCAGCTCTGCTGAATCTCCCAATTGAATATGAAGTTGCCAGGGGCAAATTTCTGGTCTCATTTCACTTCCCAGTGTATAGCCCTGAGGTTATGTTCCTGTTTTCAGAGACATGTAAATGTGCTTGTTATATAAATTCTGACTTCCTAGTTGAAACAGTACTGAAAAATTGAGATTAAATCAAGAAGTGAGAGGGTTCTTCACCAAGAACTGTTTCTGTGGTTATATACAGTAGCAGAGACAGAGAAAATCTCAAATTTTAGTTATGACTAGGTACACTTTTACCGTATTTTTTCCAGAAGCCTTAAATCCAACCTCAGAAAGTGACTTGAGCTTCTGAAGGCACTTCAGAGTCTAAGTCCTATTGAAAGCCAGTTACCAAAACATAGCCCAGAGATGCCTGGATGCTGCCTGAGGCCTCTGACTCTTACTCTGTGACGCACCATCACTATTAATGACCTAGGCATTATCAGTTTGAGAGCTTTGGTACTTAGCAATCTAGCCCAGACAATGTGTAGTTTCCCTGTCTTTGACCATCTTTGCATTGGTCATTTTTACAGCTTCGTGAATGTGTCAAGTGGCAATTTGACTGCTTTTACATATGACATCAGCTGGCTCCAAGTTAAAAACTTCTGCGGAATGGAGGATGAAGAGAAACACGTTAAAATTACTGCCACTATTGAAACAGTAAGGAGTCTGATTGTTCAGGGATATAACACAGGCTGTTTCCCTGAAAAGCTCGGCCAGTGCACTTGAGCCAATTAATGAGGGGTCAATCTAGCCTCAGGGCTGAAGTTTTTCTGTGATGAAAATAGTGTGCAGCTCAGAATTACTGCTACTGGAATATTTTGACTGCTGTGTAATAAAACTGTAATGCTCGTAAGTTAAACCAGTGCAGTCTACATTAGCGTGTTTTAGTGTGAAACAGTTTTCTTTTTGCACCATCCTGTAAATGTACGTTTGGTGAGGCTGTGTCAGTAAACAAAACCTAAAAGAGGAGGAAAGTGTTACTTCTTACTTTCAACATAGGATAGCAAAAAATGCTGGTTTTCCCCCAGGGGTGGATTTCTCTGGTACCTTTTCTGCCTTTTAAATTATTTCCTGTTATAGAAAATATGAAGAACTACTTAGTTTTTCTCACAAAATTACTATTTGTGAAATATTAGTCTTTTGATAGATCCAAAAATTAAATAACACTTTCTTTTCTTTAGAATACTGTTTTTGAGGAAAATTTCCAAAAATGTGTTATAATATCACGCCATTTATTTATTATATTAGGTATGATAATGTTAAAGAAATGTTTTCTCGGCTGTGTACAGTGTTAACAGGAATAATAACATAACTAAGATGCATTTCAAGTGAAGGCTGCCTTTTGTGGACGGGTATTTGAACAGCAGGTGTGTTACTGGCATTCTGTATTAAAGGTGTTAATATTGCTTCCTTTTAGGTGATGTCAGATATCAAAATGAAAGCAATAAGGGAGCTTCAGCTGGAGGAGGAACTAGGTAAGTGTTCAGCTGCTTTACTTTTAGATCTGCTAATACTAGAATTTACTGGCTGGCTTCCTGCTCTTTGCATCAGTTTATTCAAAACAGCAAATCCATTGCTGTTAGGAGTTTTTTTGGGAAGAAAGAGGGTGCAAAGGACTTAAAATTCATCTAATTCTGAATAAAATTATTATTTTTCCTAGCTTAAAAAAAAAATCGGTGTAAGTCTTGATTAAATATATTTTACGAAGCTCTTCTATTTCATAAGCTGAGTAGGAATAATCATGTTGTCTTAGTAAAGTATTACACTCAGAATTGAAGAAGGTTGTTTTTTTTTTTTTAAAAAACCTTATTCCTTTCTTTAAGACACTAGTTTTCTTTCTTTCAAGTTGATGCCTTTACTTTTGGAAGCACTTGGTCAGTTTTGTAGTATTTTACTGATTGTGGCTAACAGCTGGCTTCAAAGAGAAAATAATCTTTCACTGAAAGGAGAAAAACTAAGACTGTTCATGAAGTCTCTAGGACTCTCTCTCCAATTGTATTTTTGATGCAATACCTCCAGAGGGAGGCCTCTAAGATAAACACGTTGTTGTCATTAATCTTAAATATGTTATCTGTCTAACCTTCTAGGCCAAATTTCTTCTTAATTGAATTACTTAATATATCTATCTCTCTTTCCTGCCCTTTTTGTTACAGCAAATGACAGCTGTCTTAGACCTGTTAGTGGAAATGGGAAACTTCTGTCTCCAGGTAAATATAATATTTAATCATTGTTCTGTAAGACGTTCAATTGGGAGACTTTAAGCTTCCCTTTGTCCTTTCCAGGGAGAATTACACACACATAACTCTACTAATTTCCGGGCTTAACTGAAGCGGTTGTGTGGGGTTTTTTTTCCAGTTTTACTGTTTATTAACAGTACCAATACAAAGCTAGAGGTTAAACTTAAATGTTCAGCTTGGCTTTATTACTTGCATTCCTAATAAGTAAAATTGATTAGCATACCTGCTGTTGTTTATTGGCCACTGGCCACACATGCTTCAAGACTGTGGGAATTAACAAAGTTCTGTTTCCCATACTTTATTTTATAAATCGAAAAATCTCTAAATGATCTGTTTTGAATCATATTTAATACATTACAGAGCAACTTTCTAGATGTTCCAGGAAGCAGAGTCATTGTTCCATGTCTTTCTAACTTCTATTTCCTGAAACAAAATGGACTAAATGTATTGATGCGCAAGGTTGGATTTTAGAACAGCTTGAGCAGCAAACTTGAGTCCTGCGGGATGGAGGAAGCACTGTTAGGTTCCTGTTTACTATGAGAAGGCAGCTCGTGTCTGTGGTGTATGAAGCACACTGAATAACATGTGAATTTCTGCTTCCATAAGAATGGAGGAACATGTTCATGCCATAGCCTGCTCTTTGATTTAGATGTCACTATATAACTGTGCTCTTGATGACCAGTGTTCAGCAGAAAAGGACCCCCAGCTTTGCTTTTGCTGTTGTTGGGTCAGTAGTGAGAAACTGCATCAGCTTTGTGCTTGCTGGGAAACATCTTCTGTGTCTTTGCTATTTTGCTAATAAATATATTGCATTAGTAAAAGACAGCCAGGAAGCCAATGAGAGATTAATTCCCCTCCATTCAGCGCTTGTCAGGCAACATCTGGAGTATTGTGTCCATTTTGGGGGCTCCTCAGCATGAGAAAGAAGCCATTACAAACTAGACCCAGTCCAGAGGAGAGGACCCAGAATGGTTTGGGAGCTGGAACATAGGAAAGAGGAGGGAAGCTAGGTTTTTTCCAGCCTGAAGAGGAAGAGGCTTGGGGGGAGGAGGGGTAATTGCCATTACCTGATTGACTGATCTGACTTCAGAGCTTTGAGCACAGGGAGCCGTGGGAGGCTGGGAGATATCCATCCCTGGAGGTATTCAGAGCTTGACTGGAAAAAGCCCAGAGTGAACTGATCTGACTTCAGAGCTTTGAGCAGGAGTTTGGACCAGACAACCTACAAAGATCCCTTCCAACCTAAATTCTTCTGTCACTCCATATACAAGGGGTGCTGGGGAGGAACCTTTATACAAATGTTGCTTTGCTCTCATCATAGAAGACTTACAGATCTGACGTCAACACTGTGGAAGTGAAGTTCTCTAAATGTCACTGAACATTTTTATCTTGCTCTAAAGAGCAGCATAATAGAATGGATATTTTCAGGAAGCAGCAGCTTATGATGTTCTCCTTGTTGTTGTCCTCCCTGAAGTGCCTGAGGATTATACTGTCAAGGAAGCGGAACTGAAAATGGGAAGCTTGCTAGGGCTGTGTCATGGGAAAGCTCCAACTTCCACTCAGGTATAGTAGTGCTGTGACTGAAAAGAGTCTCATGCTGCTTTTATGCTTTGTTTGCATTTCCCAATATTTCATGTAGTTCTCTTTTTACTCTTGTAATGGTTGTAAACGGCATGGAAAAAAATCCTCAGTGACACTGAGAATTATAGAATCATAGAATCATTAAGGTTGGAAAAGACCTCTAAGATCATCAAGTCCAACCGTCAACCCAACACCCCCATGCCCGCTAAACTATGTCCCTAAGCGCCTCATCTACACGTCTTTTAAGTACCTCCAGGGATGGTGACTCCACCACTTCCCTGGGCAGCCTGTTCCAAGGCCTGACCACTCTTTCAGTGAAGAAATTTTTCCTAATGTCCAATCTAAACCTCCCCTGGCACAACTTGAGGCCATTTCCTCTCGTCCTATCGCTTGTTACTTGGCAGAAAAGACCAACCCCCACCTCGCTACAACCTCCTTTCAGGTAGTTGTAGAGCGCGATGAGGTCTCCCCTCAGCCTCCTCTTCTCCAGGCTAAACAGTCCCAGTTCCCTCAGCCGCTCCTCATAAGACTTGTTCTCTAGACCCTTCACCAGCTTCGTTGCCCTTCTCTGGACACGCTCAGATATCTGGACACGCTCTGGATATCAGCATGAAGGTTCGCAGCATTTATCTCAGTTGCAGAAAGCCAAGAGCATAGATACGACCAGTTAATATAGCTTATATGACTAATGGTAAATCATTTATCATTTGCTTGTCTGTGGTTGTCCAACTTCTATGCTTTGATGTGCATATACTTTTGTAAAGAGCATAAAGTAAGAAAAGGGGGATATTGCTTTTGATATCTACAAGTTGTAAATATGCAAGAGGAAAAATAGTTGTATATTTCTAAAGATCAGAGTGCTAGCAGGTTTTATCTCTCATTTGCAGCAGACAGGTACAGATGGTTAATGAAGCTCTACTGATGGCCATAACTCAATTGCATGTGCTTCTCTGTGCTGCTTAGATTGTTTGCTTTAGCCCAAAGGAGGTTCAGTGCTGTTTGACTGCTGGCAGGCTTGCGATAGCTGGTATATGTGTGTATTAGGGGGTGTTATTTCACAGTATTTCCATACTTAAATGTGTATTCTGATAGCTTATACTTGCTTTTTTAGCTCTTCTTATATTTTATTGTTGGGAGTGACCAAAACACAAGCCCTGAGATGGAGATAGTTGTGGAAGAGACTGCCTCTGTCAAAGAGGTAAGTCTAGCTGCTTTTAAAAGTTTTTGTCATGCCTCTGTCAGGTCTGCTGCTCCTGGAGAACTTTGCCTTATATCCGTGTGTCACTTCAGGTCATGAGGAGACACTGAGGCAAAGGAAGTGTTTCAGCTCCAAAAGGCCAGCTGGGAAGAATGCCTTGATCTTTCACCAAGTAGTAAAGAGACATCCTTGCTTTTTCCCAAGGATGAACATAGCCTGACTGCTTCGTGCATGGCTAGCCACTCCTTTTATACACAGCAGTCCTCAGCATGATATGCAATCACGGCAGAGCCTGACACAATTCCTTGTAGTTCATCAAACTCTGAAGGCACAGAACTGGAGTGGGGAAGAACTATGCACAGAGCGAAGAAAGCAGTTCTCAGTACTGCCAATCCAGGCTTCTGGCACAGTGTTAACATCTACAAGTAGTCGCTGGAAAGTGTTGAGTTTGCAGTTTGATTTCTAAAAGGTGCATCTCCAAACTCTGGAATGGAATTCGTTCAAGTAAAGCAACAAACTGACAGCACAGAGTTCTTTTTAACAGTTTGTAAAAGCTGACTCACCTGACATGGTAAATTTCTTGCCTGAAAACAATCTCATACTTGAAGGGTTTAATATATAGCTCAAATACACCATGCCTATGTAATTATATTGTTTTTAGGAATTGACCAGGAATCATTCAGTCTTTATGTTAGAAAATTCTAGTGTAGATTTGCTGAAAACTTTATTTCCCAGCCAGTGCATTGAGGCAAGTCTCACCATATGTTTCTTTTTTCAGTGTCTAAATTTAATGCTGGAAAAATCTGGATTATCAGGTTAGTTGTGTTATATTGTTATTTAATGATTTTTTTTTTAAAAGGAATTTCCAGATTTCTAAGACAAGTCTTGCTACCCTTAAAACTTAAAAGTCATAAGTTTGTTACAATGATCTGTGTGTCATCATAATGTGAGGAGGGGAAAGAATGATAAACTTGCAGTCTTGCTCTGATAAAAGCTGGCTGTGCAGTTGTTCTTGAAAATCAGTTTCAAGCTTTATATTTAAACACAATATGGCAAAATCCATAGTTCCTAGGCTGTTTGCTTGGGTGCAGGTGTAGGTGTTTGGCTGTTTTGGCAAGATTTGCTATCGTAGTGGGAACCACTGCATGAGATTAATTGTAAAAAAATAATTTTTCGTCGCTTTGCAAAAACACGTTATTCAAAATGAGATCAGAGGTTGGCCATTATTTGGGAATCTGAGTGGTAGCAGTTCTCACTGCTAAGCTTTTAGGATTGGAATAAGTGAGGATTAAGGAAGAGATATAGACAGCACTAGCATGACACATTAATGTCCTGGCTGAATATTTCTTTCCATTGGTGCTGACGGGGAGGAAGGACGAGAAGAGACTTGGAGTGGCATTGTTTTCCACCTTTCATTCTAAACATTCATTGAATACTGAATTTGTGTTGCAGTGGAGAGATGGCTGCAAATTCAGCCACGCTCCAAAAAATGTAAAAGTTCACCTGAAAGACATTACTGTCAGAATATACATTGAGTAATTCAAATGAAAATTAAATATTGTGCTCTTGTATACATGTAGATATGAGTTGAAATAGTTAATAATGTCTTGGAAATATAAACTTAACCTTTTTCATTTCCCTATAGTATAGGTCTACTGCCAGGAAGCAGTGGTTCTGTTTTTATTGCTTTATTTTATATTACCATTTTTGAAAAATTGAATTTGGCCTTGTGTAGAGATTCGTGATCTGACTGCTCTCATTCAAAGAAATGTCAGACTTCACTGGATTTTGATGTTGTTTAAAAAGACAGCAAGGTGTTTTGGTGTCGTTCCCCCCTCCAAATTTATTGATGATATTCCTTCTGGGCTTGGTTTTTTTTTGTTATGAAAGTCAAAGTTTATTTTCATTACTTATTTTGGTCAAATTAAAAAGTTTCAATTGTATTTGTTCCTTCTGTACCTGGTGCACTTTAGATAAATCTGAAGTATTGTAGTTTCTGGACTACATCATCTTTTTTTTTTTTCCTCCAGAGTGAAGTCTCCTGGTAGGCAGTTGGGGAGGGGAAGTTGGATTTTTTCCTTATAGTGTAGTTTTCATTTTAAGGAGCCTGTCATTGATTCAAATGGTATGTTGACATGGAAATTCCTTTGCTTTCCTCTTAAACCAGGGAAATTATCTATGTAGGTGAGGAAGAGACGTTTATACAAATACGAGA